GTGAAATGGGACAGGGAAGCAGGGAACGCAATTGAGGAAGCATCACTTCCCAGCTGGGAAATTGACAGGGAAGCAGAGGATGCAGTTGAGGAAGCATCTTTTCCCAGCTGGGAAATGGAACAGGGAACCTCAGGAGGCAATTGAGGAAACATTACTTCCCAGCTGGGAAATGAGACAGGGAAGCTCAGGAGGCAATTGAGGAAGCATTACTTCCCAGCTGGGAATTGGGACAGGGAAGTGGAGGATGCGGTTGAGGAAGCATCACTTCCCAGCTGGGAAATGGGACAGGGAAGCGGAGGAGGCAATTGAGGAAACATTACTTCCCAGCTGGGAAATGAGACCGGGAAGCTCAGGAGGCAATTGAGGAAGCATTACTTCCCAGCTGGGAATTGGGACAAGGAAGTGGAGGATGCAGTTGAGGAAGCATCACTTGCCTAGTTGGGAGGGGAGACAGGGAAGTGGAGGAGCCACTGAGGTTCATCAGTGAGCAAGGGCTGTGGGATATCAGGGCCCCACCCATGCAGGCACCTCTGGGGGACAGAATAGAACTCAGGTGTCTGCAAGGAAGCGCGGTAACATCGGCCTTGCCATTAACTGAGGGCTGCTTCTGGGGGTGTTAACTGCTGAGGGTTGAGCACACACCTGTGCCCAGGGATAGCTGCAGACAGAGGCCCAGGTGCTGGGCGTTGGAAACTGTCCATGTGCAGGGGAGACCTGGGTGGCATGCAGTGCTGCCTACAGGGACATGAGGAATGCGTACAGCGAATTAAAGCACCAGGTTCCATCTTTGTGCCTTGTTGGTCATAAGACAGTGAGGCTGGACCAGAGGATGGGACAATCTGGATTTTTTAAAATCACCATATGCCCAGTTCCTAAGCCCATGCCTGGCACCTTTGGGGCTCTCAGAACGATTGGTCTTGCCACCAACCATGGCCTGTGGGCAGGAACTTCATCCCTGTGCAAACACTCAAGGCCCTCCGTGGCCTGCTCTTCCCTTGCCTTCCAGCCAGGAAAGCATCAAAGAAGGCTTCCTGGAGGTGTCTGAGCTGAGGCTCAAAGAACAAGGTGAGTGGCCAGATGCAGAAAGGTCAATAGAACATTCCAGACTGAGGAAAGAGCCAGATGTGCAGACCAATGTGTCAGGTTCTAGCCCCAACTGAGCCCCAGGGTTAGGGTGGGTAGATGGATGGGTAGCTGGAAAAACACTCGAGTCAGGGGCGGGGGCTGTAAGCAGGTCAATGTGGTTTTACTCAGCAGCTCTCTCATCAGCAGCTCTCTTACACTGTCCATTCTGTCTCAGCTGCTTGAGCCAGCTGCTCCCACACACAGCTGTGCAGCCAGCTCTCCCTGGCCTTCAGGGGCAGCAGCTTAACTCTCTCTCTCGGCAGGACTGTGAGCCGTGCCATGCGTGCTGTGCTGAACCCGGCCTGGCTCCCCTCTGTCCATCTGCAAGATGGACAGCTCTGGTTCTCTCTCTCTCTTTCTCCGGGCACCAGCACCTGCACAAAAGTGATGCGGCACGAGGCCTAAGAGCCCCTGTTCAGTGTCAGCAGGGCAGTTATACCTTTCCATACAATAGTGGCTCCAAGCCAAGTTACTTACACAAACAGGTTCTGTAACAAGTGGAGTATGCATCTGCACACCGAAACGCGCTGAGTCATTCTGGCCCAGATGTTCGCCTCGGCCTATTCCTTGACCAGAGCACCTCCATGTACCTTACAGAATATTTCTTGCTTTTCCCAGTGCCAGGAATAGAAGGCGACTTTCTGTCCTTCTGCTTCCTTCCCAGAGTGCCCCCACCTTCTCTGACAACCTGAAATGCCCCTCCTTGGTGCCCCCTCAGGACTCCAGCTCAGTCTTCTGTGTTTGCTAGTTTCAAAAGAATATCTGTGAGCCCTCATCCAGAAAGGGTACATGTGGAATAGGGAGGACCCCAAACCCAAATCCCAAAAGTCCATTGTTAGGAGTTATTGAAAATAGTGAGGGATGGCTGGGTGCGGTGGGTGGCTCACGCCTGTAATCTCAGCACTTTGGGAGGCCAAGGTGGGTGGATCACGAGGTCAGGCATTCAAGACCAATGTAGTGAAACCCTGTCTCTACTAACAATACAAAAAATCAGCTGGGTGTGGTGTCGGGCACCTGTAATCTCAGCTACTCAGGAGGCTGAGACAGGAGAATCTCTTGAACTGGGAGATAGAGGTTGCAGTGAACCGAGATCACACGACTGCACTCCAGCCCAGGTAACAGTGCAAGACTCCATCTAAAAAATATATAAAAAGAAAGAAAATGGTGAGGGAGTCTTGGAGGGGTCGGGGGCGGGCTTTCTCGGCAGTTAGGGAAATAGAAAGGTGGCCCACTTGGGCCCGTGTCCTGCAGGGCTGTCCTGCACTGAAGAGGCAGGGGCCGAAGGCTGTGGGAGACCCCGGCAGGTAAGTCCTTGGTGCATGTTTGGGTTCTCCCAGAAGCAGGTCTGAGAACGAGTTAAGAGTGCAGAAGTTTCACTCGAAGGTAGCCCCTGGGAGGTGACAAGGATAGGAAAACTGGGCAGGAGGAGCTAGGAGGCCACGGTGCCCCTGGCAAAGTCTCCGCAAGTCCAGCAGAGAGCTCTGGAGAAGCTTGTGCATTACAGGAGCTCCCCCGCTGGGTGGAAATGGCTGGGCCCTTGGATTTTCTCCTTGCCCGTTCATGGGCTGGGGGTCATTCTGAAACAGTATCACCTGCTTTATGAACATATATACAATAGGAAGGTTAAACTGAAGATTTAAAAAAAGATCAGAATTCTTTTAAATTTTTATTTGTATTTTAAGTTCCAGAATACATGTGCAGGGTGGGCAGGTTTGTTACACAGGTAAATGTGTGCCATGTGGTTTGCTGCACCCATCAACCAATCACCTGGGTATGAAGCCTCCCGTGCATTAGCTATTTTTTGCTAATGCTCTCCCTTCCCCCACCCCGCCCCATGACAGGCCCCAGTGTGTGTTGTTCTTCTCCCTGTGACCATGTGATCTCATTATTCAGCTGCCACTTATAAGTGAGAACATGTGGTGTTCGGTTTTCTGTTGCTGTGTTAGTTTGCTGAGCAATATTCACAATAGCAAAGACGTGGTATCAACAATGCCCATCAATGGTAGACCAGATAAAGAAAATGTGGCATATTTATATACACCATGGAATACTATGCATACATAAAAAAGAATGAGATCATGTTTTTTTCAGGGACGTGGATGGAGCCAGGAAATAGGAAATTTTAAGAGAATGAAGAGATTTTTTTTGTTCCAGGAAATTCTTTTAAGGGCTAAACATTGAATTTGTCTGAGAGCTTCCTGGCAGCCATTATGAAAAGAAAAAAAAAACACATAGGTTATGAAGTTATCTTTATTTTATAATAGAAAATATGTATCCCACGAAGGAAAGAAATAGCTTTCTACTCCAAAAGTCTAGTTATTTTATCCCATGGATATTGCATTTTGAACTTTGAGGAAATAGTAGAAATATTATACTTAATGCATGAAACAGAAACGTTACTCATTCAGCTGCTTTTCTCATTTACCCTTAATAAATGCTGGGGAAAGCATTAAATTATAGTTTATTAAAAAAAGGCATTCTGAAGCAGTTTTTAGTACCCTGCTGGAAATAACACTCCAAAGCTTTCAGAAGGGTACTTGCTTCTTGAAGAATACAGAACAAGTTTAATGGCTTTTGCTTAAGAAGAGCCTTTTCACATACCCTGAGGTGCAGTGACTTTTTTTTTTTTTCTTGAGATAGAGTCTCTCCTTGTTGTCCAGGCTGGAGTGCAGTGGCATAATCTCAGCTCACTGCAACCTCTACCTCTTAGGTTTAAGTGATTCTCCTGCCTCAGCCTCCAGAGTAGCTGGGATTACAGATGCCTGCCACCATGCCTGGCTAATTTTTTGTATTTTCAGTAGAGATGGGGTTTCAGCATGTTGGCCAAGCTGGTCCTGAACTCCTGACCTCAGATTATCCACCTGCCTCAGCCTCCCAAAGTGCTGGGAGTATAAACCACCACACCCGGCCAAGCCAGGCTTTAAGGATGCTGCCTGCTGTGTCTGAAAAGACTGCCCACAGGAACCATCACAATAGCCACCTATCCCTGTAGGATGAATAAATATCAGAGCAATGAATATTTAAGTCTGTGTTCTAAAAGCATGCCCCATGATCTGACGATTAGGGTTTCCAGGGTCTAATCAGTCAGCTCGCCTTCAGGCATACATTCTTGGAGGTTTACACAATTAAGGTCTTCATTAAAAAAAAAAAAAAGGTTTTCTGAAGGGGGAAGTTAGCAGTGTTCAACATGAGAAAGGCATAAATCACCAGAATGGGTTTGAATCCTGGGAAGATTCATTCTTTGGAACTATTTCCACTCAAGTTTTCTTGCATTTCTGAGGGTCACATGGAAAGGGCTGTGCAGTCGTTAAGTTCAATCTTCTTTTCATGATAGAGTGGACTGCAGGGCATCCTGGCCAAGCGACATGCCACTGCTCTCAGGACACCTGTGATGAGGATGAACTCATGGACCAGGCAAACAGGAGGTGCTTAATCAGTATTCAGCAAACGAGTCCCAGTGTGGGAAGCTCCGAGCCATGGTTTCATGTATATGATATTACGCAATTATTACAATAGCCATTGGAGGCAGGAATGATAATAAAAGATGAACAGGGCACCACTGCCCGGTGGTATAGACAGATTTGAACCGTGGGTGTGCTTTGCCTTGCGTTGGAGGCAGTCAGGAGACACATTCTCTCCCAGCTTTTCTCCCAGCCAGCTGGGTGATGTTGGGCAAGTCATGGCATCTCTTTGGGCCTCTGTTCTCCCATTTTTAAACAAGGGCTTTGGACTCCATAGTTCAAAGGCCCCTGCCAAGTTCCATCCCCTGCTAAGGTATGCGGCTGGGAGGTGGGACCTATCCCTGCAGGGCCCAGCATGAGACATGATCAACACTCTAATCCCTGCTGAAAACCCATGTATGCCCCTGTTTGCAGCCTTCCAGACGTTCTTGGGTAAAGCAGACGTTTCCCGAGAGGTAGAGGAGGTCCTGGCTGACAGCCGCGTGCAGAGGAACATCCGCTTGGTGTCTGTGCTGGAGCTGCTGAGAGCTCCCTATGTCCGCTGGCAGGTGGTCACCGTGATCGTCACCATGGCCTGCTACCAGCTCTGTGGTCTCAATGCGGTGAGTCCTGGGGCCCGGTGGGCATTCCTGCATGACTGGAGGGACCAGTAGGGAGGTTTAGGGCTTGGGCCCTGGATGCCCAGATTCAAATCTCAGCTCTGTCATCACCACAGACTCTGCTGTCTCTTCCTTTTGGACATTCATGTCACTTGATTGATCCTTGGTTTCCTCATCTGTAAAATGGGATAGCATAGTATGGAAAGACACAATCCATGCAAAGTGTTCAGTTCGGCCGCTAGCCACAGAGATTGCCCGTAATAAATGCTGTCACTGATTATTTATTCCTCGATGTGTCTAAAAATCCTATTTCTTTAAAAAATGGATATTAGGAAGTCAGAAGTGAGAGACGTTGAGATGATTTAAATAAAAGTGTTCTTGGCTGGGCTGTCTTCAACTCACAACTTTGGCTTGAAAGAAACCTCAAGGCTTTAAGTAAGAAAGGCTCTGGGGCCTGAGCTGCTGCAGGCAGGGAAGTCAGGGGCCCTCTCTCCATGAGGTTCCCCAGACGCCTGGATGTTCACCACAGTCTCCTCCCTCTTGAGGGCACGCGAAGGTGGAATTTCTGATTGGAGACTTAGGGAGGCAGAGTCTGGATCTTTACTGTTAGCTGCTAACAGATGGAGTAGGTTGCCTCCAGGGGTGGTGAGCTCCCCATCTATGGAGGTGTGCAAACAGGCTGGCCGAGCGCTTGGCAGGGAGTGTAGAGGAGATTCTTGCATAAAGCATCTAAACTGCCCCTGAGGTCACTCATGTCCCTTGGGAGGAGACTGGCTGAACCCAGAGGGAGGGAGAAGGGGCAGCTGCCAGCGCCCTTCCGAAGAGTCCCAGGTAGGAGAGCTTGCGTTTATACGAAATGAGCATGAGCGCAGCACCCCAAAGGTGGGCAGGGAGGGTGTTTGGGGGTGTCTAGGGAAGGTGAGGTGAAGGAGAGTCATTCCTGTCCAGAGAAGGAAAAACAGCAGCACAGAAAGCTGCAACCATAACGTTCCACCTCCTGTTTTCGGAAATGCTGGGATGAAAGATCACCTTGCTTCTTGCTTTTACCTTTCTCCTTGGTCTGATTGAAGTCAGCAGACTGAGCAGGCGCCTGGGTCAGTGACTCTATTTCCATTAACTGAGTGACCCCGGGAGAGTCCTGCCGTCTCTTCCTGTTGATGAGACCAAGGTTGTGCCGCACAGTCTTAAGGAGGCGCTCTTTGTTCCCAGAGAGTAGAGAGGGGAAACGCTTTGCTTCTTAAACCGGACACCTGAAGCCTCAAAGACTGAATACAGAGCCTGTAGTGAATGAGGCATTTACACTGGGAACCATGACAGTGCTCAGCAGAATTCACTTCCCACAGGGACATACTTTTCCCATTTGCATCCCCCGTAAACTTCATAGACTCCGCTAGGGTGTACCTGCAAGGCCCGCTCCCTAAGCACATGATGAAAAAAAAAAAATCTCAGCTGCTCCCAAAGCCAGCAGTCTTCAGGCCCCAGCCTCAGACTGCTCTGCTGATCTTCAGTCTTTAAGTTGGGAATGATATTTCCAGCTGAGCATGCTTTGCCTGACCTGGAGCAGAGTTCTGGACCAAGAGTCCGAGGCCTGACTTCCCATCTCAGTGGGACACAAACCTGCAGTGAGAAACCGGGCCAGCCACTCCCCCGGCTTGGCCTCCACCCGCTTGGCTGCAAACCTAATTAAGCGTGCGTGCCTGTAGCACTCAGTGTGGACCAGGAGCTGTCCCCATGGCCGCCCTGTGAGTTAGGCCCCACTGTTACGCACAGAGACACTGAGACACTTTTCCAAGGTTAAACAGCGAGGAATAGTAGAAAAAGGATTTGAGGCTGGGTGTGGTGGCTCATGCCTATAATCCTAACACTTTGGGAGGCCGAGGTGGGCAGGTCACAAGGTCAGGAGGTCGAGACCAGCCTGGCCAATATGGTGAAACCCTGTCTCTACTAAAAAACACAAATAAAAATACAAAAAATTAGTCTGCCATGGTGGCGTATGCCTGTAGTCCCAGCTACTCGGGAGGCTGAGGCAGGAGACTCCCTTGAACCTGGGAGGCAGAGGTTGCAGTGAGCTGAGATCACGCCACTGCACTCCAGCCTGGGCTACAGAGCAAGACTCCATATATTAAAAAAAAAAAAAAAAAAAAAAGGAGAAAAGAAAAGAAAAAGAATTTGAGCCCCAGCTCTCTGGCCCCAAGGTCATGCATGTCACTCAGCCTGTGTCCCCACGCCATCCCTAGGCAGCCAATGGGACAAGTCTACTTCTGTGTTACATACAGAGGGACCCATGCTGTTTGGTGGTGAATGCCAGCGTCACAGCTGTGCTGGGCTCCAGCTCTCCTCTGCACCTGCTGCCTTCTCGTCCAAATTCATGGGACAAAGAGAACTACCATGGACCCAAGACTTTAGCTGCCTTGGAAGACTTGCTTTATTGTATTCAGTTTCCTAGACGTTATCTGGGGACATGATCTGTCACTTGAGACATACGTAAATAGTGCCAGGCATCTCTGTGTTTGTCATCTTATTCCAGCTCCAAACAGGCCCACAGGGTAGGCGGTATCATGCCCATATTCTAGATGAAGAACTTGTGGCTCTCAGAGAGTCAGGCCTTGCCCAAGGCCCAGGGGCAGTACCTGCACAGACAGTCACACCTGCTGGTGCTGGCTGCCCCCCTCCCCCCCAGGACTGCCCGCCCAGGCACTTTTTACCAAACTTGCATTTCTCAGTCTCATAACTATCTACATTTGAGCTGGAAAGTTCATTGTCATAGGGGCTGTGCTGTGTGCCTAGGCTATTCAGCAGCCTCCCTGGCCTCTTTCCATTAGGTACCAGTAGCACCATCTGCCTCACCAACTGTGACCACCAAAAATGGCTCTGGATGTTTGGCAGTCAGCATGGGAACAAAACTGCCCCCTTACCCCAGCTGAGAATCTTTATATCAAGCAAGCATCACAGACGGCCCAGTATATTTATGCTAAAGAGTTGATGAATGGTTTTCACATACTTTAGAAGGCATTCAAAAGTTGGCTGGGCGCAGTGACTCGTGCCTGTAATGCCAGCACTTTGAGAGGTTGAGGCAGGTGGATTATTTTAGGTTAGGAGTTTGAGACCAGCCTGGCCAACATGGTGAAACCCCATCTTTACTGAAAATATAAAAAGGAGCCAGGTGTTGTGGTGTGCACCTGTAATCCCAGCTACTTAGGAAGCTGAGGCAGGAGACTCACTAGAACTTGGGAGGCAGAGGCTGCAGTGAGCCGAGATTGAGCCACTACACTCCAGCCTGGGTGACAGAGCAAGACTCCATCTAAAAAAAGAAAAAATCACTCAAAAGTTGGATCAAACAACATTTATTTGTTGATTTCTAAATTCCTTTTCGGTGTTGGATTTTTTTTTTTTTTTGTCCTGCCTCACACAATAAGCCTCTCTAAAATTAGACCTGTCGCTTAAAATGACTTATTTTAGGCAGCTGCCTTCCTTTGGAGCAGTTTGTCCTTGGCATGAAAACCAGGCTTTGGTGTGAGTGTGTCTGTTGCCAGTGTGAAGGAGGCTGCTGGCTTCAGGGCCATCCTCCTGTCCCCATTGCTGGGGTGGCCACAGTGGTTCCTACCCCTCCACTGTGCTGCCCTCACCTGGAGAGAGCTATTAGTGGGTCTCCATTCTCGAAGACGGAGGCTGCATCTTATCAACCCTCTGTCTACAGCACCAGAGCAGCCCATGCCACGTGCTGGGCACCTGAGTGTCTGGGGAAGAAAAGGAGGCGAGGGCAAGAGATAGGGAGTTCTTGGGCTGAAAATTGGATCAATACCAACTGTCAAGCCCAGTGCAGGGAAGCCTTCATTTTCTTGAACCTTCCTGAATGTTCCAGAATGCTCAAGGTCATGGTGGTTCTCTTATCTACGGGGGATGACCCTTCCTTCCTTGGGGTTTCTTTTTTTCTTAAACACAGTTGCGAATCATAGTCACTTCCCTGGGCCTCAGTCTCCCATCACGAGAAATGGGGATGATAATACTCAGTTTGCACAGCTGCTTTGAGGAATCTGGAATTGTGTAAAATATCTCACAGGTGGCACCGGCTCAGCTGGCATGAATCTCCTCCCAACCTCGCTGTCATCAGCACGACTTTCTAGCCTTGTTTTCTCCTCTCTCTATGCCATGCAGTTTCAAAATCTGCTGCTTCCTGATATGCAGTCGTGGTTGGGAAACAAGACACCCAAGTGTGTTAGAAATAGATGTAAAGTAAGAGCGAAGAGGAGCAGAGTGCTGGCTGCGAATGAGCCGTGCGGGCCTGGCGACGTTGGTCCTGGGTGCGCACTGGCGGTGAACTGCTGCCTGGGTTTTTGCACGCAGTGGGATGCTCGCGCATTACAGGGTTCCTGGTGTGTTTCTCTAACCACTTCCTTGGGAAATTACTGTGTACTCCTCCCTTCCTCGCTTGACTAAAGGGTCTTCTAGGGCAGGCTAGGACTTGTGTTGTCTGCTGTCACCTTAGTGCCTAAGAAACTCCTAGATTTCTTATGCTTTCTGTAAACAGTTGAGTGGAGGGGAGGGAAGGGAGGTGACTGGGAGGGACGCGGGGAAGAAGACACAAAAGCCTTAGATGTGTGTACAGAAAACCATGGTACTTTCCTCCTCCTTTGGCCTGGAATCATATGAAGGTTCATCTGATTCGTTGAACCATTATGAGGAGTTCTGGAGCCAAAATCAAGTTTTGTACAAAATCTCAAATTACAATTTCAGAAGCAGTTCTTAATAGCTTTTATTTTGAAAAGATTCTCCTGAAATCACTTCCTAAATCAAATTGGAAGAATCTAAAATGTTCTATAATCATAATAGTGGAGACTATCTCACTGCAGCAGTTCTCTATGTCCTGATGAACAGGAAGAACGCTGAGAAGAGACCCTCCATATGGACACCCTAAACTGTCATCAAGAGCCAGCCTTGGGGTCATCTGTCTGCATGCAACGTGCAACGGTGAACTTTTGAGTCATGGGACCTTGGCCTGCCCC